AAGCCGTTCCTTGGTGAATTACGGCTGAAACCATCCATGAACGCCAGCAGATAGAAACGAAATACGGAACCGTCAAAGCTGGCCCCGTGGCAGTGGTTCCCAGGGAGGTGGAGGTTCGCTCTGTCCCAGTTCAGGCCGTTCATCCCCGGTTAGTCACTGCTGGAGAGCCAAGGCAGAAGAGAGCATACAGTCAGAGGGAAAGAAAGAAAGTCAGAGGGGAAAGAAAGAAAGTCAGAGGGAAAAAGAAGCCAATGGAAATTTAAAAGCAAACTTCCCTACCCTGCAAAGCCTCCCAAAGCCTCCCAGCGCAGCAGCAATTAGACAGGGATTGCGAGGGAAGAGGACAGAACTGGATGCGTTGCTCTTCTGGCTGCAGTTGTGTCACAGCAGTTTACTTGCACTTTCTGAAGCGTAAAGAGGATATTGAACAACAGCAACAAGTTGATAGTAATGATCAAATGTTATGGTAGAATTAAAAAACTAACAAGTAGGAAAAAAAAGGTTAAAGAATAGGAAAGATAACTTCGGTGGAATGGAAGTGGTAAGATATTTAGGACCAGATTTTAGCAGTAAAGTTTTAGGACCAGCATTGGTGTAACTCTGTGTACCCAACACTTGCCAGAGAATAACACTAAATAACATTTTTGCCTTTTCTCATTGCAAACAATTTTTTTGGGGGTTACTTTTAGCTTAAGACAAAATCTTGAAGTCTTTGATCTAAAAAAATCTTAATAAACCAACTGTCGTCCCTATAAATAACACTATTGGCATTACAGTTAGCAGTTTCATTTCTGGGCAGGAGAGAGGTCTGTGCTGCGTGAGCCAAGTTCCCTGTCCTGAGGCTCTTAGGCTGTCTGTAACCACACAGGGCAGCCTGTTACACAGGATTTGTTCCTGTACATGAAGCTGGATCCCCAGAGCAGTGGTGGTGCTAACCTCAGGACCTTAGTATAGCCCTTCTTGGGGGTGCCGAGAGAGAGGGTCCCAAAGGAGACCGGCTGAGCTGGGGTGCTGACTGAAAGCAACAGGCCAAGAGGGCCCCCAGCGAAGGGAGGGACTAGGAAGTTACAGACAAATGAAGAGGGGGTAAGTCTAAAACGAAAACTGAGCACACAATCTGACCTTAGGCAAGGAGATAGGCATTACTGAAATGGAGACCATGTGAGAGAAACAGAGTCCCTTTGTCTCTCTTCTGATTGACTCCTGTTCTTCAGCTGTATAAGAGTTTAACTGTGAGAAAGGGGAGGGTGAGGGTGTGTTCTGGGATTTGGAGGGCAGCCAAGAGCATTGCTGATTAATTATTTAAAAGGTCCTTTATTCCCATTCGGTTTCTAACTGAAAAATAGTAAAAAGACATTACATAGTCTTCTTTGCAGTCCATGAAATTGCTGGGTATGAAAGGCCAAAAAAACCCTGTTCAGAAGTAAGTTGTCGTAGGATCTTCAAGAGACGCAGTCCTTGTTCAGGTGTGGTCACTGTACTAGTTAAAGGGCTTACTGCACTTAAAATTTCAGTATAGAACATATACACCACTACCTGAACTGCAGCACAGCGCGAGTTGTGCTGTCATATGCTGCCCTACAGCAGTGAAGCAACCCTTTCTGAAACATTTCTTCAACATTTTTGTGAGCCCAGGATAACGTTATTTTTGCTCTGTCAACAGAAAGGAAAAGAGACTTTTTCAGAATAAAAGGCACGGATTGAAGTAGAGGCACAACGGACACATTCTCTACCTGTGCTAGACGATTGCTCGATTGCCTGCAGTCAGGAAGACAGTAAGGTAACTTTTCAACGCTTATGGAAGCACTGGCCATTTTTTATGAGGAAAGAACTGGGAGTGAAGTGACAGGCTGAGGCTGGAGGCCAATGGAAATATCCTTGAGAAAAAGTTTTTGGCTTACCTCCATTTAGTTAGCGGGCAATTTCCATCGCGTAGACGTGAGAAAATAATAGCGTACTCAGAACAGACAGTGTGATTAAGCAGTCAGAACTCCTAAGAAAATACTGGACCTGAATTTAATCTATCCCAAAGCAAGAAAGAAAAAGTATTTTCTGAGTGTCGAATATGAAACATCTACATACCTCCTGTGCTTCATCAGCTCTTTTTTTTGGGCTTGTAATGATGTACAGTGTTATAAGATGTAGGACAAGTTCTCTGAAGGTGATTTCAGAGTAACTATTATATTACCCTAACAGAAGGTTCAGAGAATTTAAAATTGGAGAAAAAGCAAGTCCAGAACTTAACTAACATTCCAGTGAAACTAGATGGGAAAACCACAAAGATGAGACTTTGTGAGGCTTAGGAGGAGATCCTAGTTCTTTATGGAAGGCTCAAATAAATAGGCTTTGTACGACAGATGTCTTTATATAGGTAGGAGCGGCTTCCTTCCCATGACTGAAATTTGCTGTGCATCTCCTAGGTAGGATATTTGGATCCGCAGTCTGGAGAATTTCATTGTGCCCAGAGCTCATGGCCTGAAATAGTGCATCTTAGCTTCAGTAAAGCATTTTCAGAGCATGTAGAAGTTTTGTCTAGTGACAACAGTTGGACTTGTAGGACTTCAATGGTAATTATGCTACGAAACTTACTTAGTTGAGTAGAAAAAGGTCCACAGCACCAACTGCCAGCGAGAGACATAGTGGTATTAGACATTAATGATACTACTAATTTCAGTGTCTGAATCTTAAAACTAGAAGTTCTTTTGTCTTTATATATTTATATCTCTTTATTTTGATTGCAGTAACAGAAAATGATTTTTTTTTTTAATATATAAAGAATGAACAATACTCAAAGCATTTACTTTCAACTTTCCTTGAGGAGAAAACTAGGGACCTGTAACAGAGCCAGACATTTGCTGAATAGCCCTTTGCAGAAGAATTGCAATATCCAAGCTTTCCCCACTTCAGGTCAATAAACAAGAGGCAAAGTCAGATCAAAACCAACAGTTTCAAGGTATCATTTAAACTGTGATGAAACACTAAATGTACCAGAAATTCATTTTGCAAACTAAACATTTACAACTTTGAATGCAAACAATGTTGGTTGTCTTCTTGGGTTTAACTGTGTTCTTCCATATGGATTTGTGTTTTACGAAGTTTCAGTGAAATGTTCATAAACAAAAGCACTTAGATTTACCTGAATGTCCCTGAAAGATTTTATTATCCAGCAAATGAATGCAACAATTTTTTCCCTAAATGAATATTTGACTACATTTTGTGTGTAAAATATTCTTGAGTCACAATTCCCATCTAATGAGATTTTGATGAGGCAGTGATGAGGCAGTGAGCATATTAAAGATAAAATTTTGAGCCCAATAAATATACTATGAAAGCCAGCGCCTCAGAGTCTCTGCTTGAAGAGAGACTTGCATGTTTTGAAGAAGCAGTAAAGGTATCCTGGAAAGTAGATGTGTGTGAAGAGAGCCAGATCTAGAGAAATGTGGAAAACCACCTTCTTTTTTTTTTACCTTTTTTTTTTTTTTAAAAACAGAAGTGAAGGTTGGTTTCATAAAGGTTGGGAATGGCTCTTCTAAGAGAGTAAAGAATAAACCAAGTATCGAATGGTCAAGTTTCAATTCCACCCAACTATAAAAATTTGTTGCTTGATTTTTTAGCAAATTACTTAACAATTATGCTTCAAGATTTCCTACCTAAAGCAGGGCTGAATATAATACAGCTGATGAAATCATCCAACTCCATTTGGTTCCTTCCTAGAATAAAAGAAAAATCCCAAACAGAAGAGCCGACTTCCAACAAAACTGTTTGCCTTTTATTCATATGTTTTTTTAAAAATATCCACCCTGGCATTCTCCGTATGCTAATTACCTCTGCTCCTTGCCCGCTACAAATTCTTTTAGCATAAATTTGTATTTCATAATCATTAGCCCTTTACAAATCAGCCAGTACATTCAACTAGAGATAAGGTAATAACTTTCAAATCGAGTAGGAAATTACAGCAGCATCAAGTTAGGCTAATGAGTTTTGGCTAAAGAGTTCTTCCTTCTCAAGCAGAACCTCAAGATTAAGCATTTTTGTTTGTACCTTGAGATTCACAATTACTGGTAACAGTTATTCCAGACATTGAACACCATGACACGTGCTAGGTAACTGAGAAGTATTCTGAGACAAAACAAGGTGGTTTTTAGGTTACCAACATAATGTCATTCTAGTGTCCTTCAAACATCAACTTACAAGTTGGAACTATATTTATATACTGTGGATCGCTTAAAAGCATAGCCTCACAATGCCCCAAGTGCTTCTCAAGATGAGCCTACGGTGGAAACATTTTCTTGCTTCAAAGCAAGTTCCAGCTGATCTGCATACTGATCATTAAACTTACACTTCACTGAAGGATCTCTCAGTTCTATAATGTACGTAGTAAGTGCAATTTTTGCAGTTCCTTAGTTGGAGATATCTTGGCCTTTTAGACAAATACATTCTCTGTCCTTGAAAATTTGTATAAGGATCCCAAACTGGGTCACTTACCTGGGGAATGAAGAATTTCCCCCATAAATATATTTTTCAGTGTCCAAGGTGATGGATTTGGGAGTCTTGTCTATCTAGCTGTCCCTAGTTCCTTTGAACTTTCAATGAGGTTGTCTCATAACTTTCTTTCATAGCTGCTCTATTCTCTCCTATCAACCATATACGTTATAAGAGTAGGTGGGGTGGGGGGGTGAGGACAGGAGAAAGTAGCTGAATCCAAAGGTAGCAGGTTTTGGGCCGTGATGTTGGACAGAACAATTGGTGGTAAGCTCCCCAGTTTTAAACACAAATAGGTTAACAAGAGCCGTTGCTTGTGGCAGCACTGGGCTTCCAGACTCTCTTACATAGATGAATCTTTGTAGCCCAGCAGAGTTTTGCCCTGTGGGAAACAGAACTCAAGGTTAGCACCAAAACTTCCATGAAATCTGTTACTTCATTTTGGATGTTGTGCCTTCAAGCAAAAAGAGAATGGAGATTAAAAATACTGAGATACACGTGAATCATCACACACACACTTCAGGGAAGACATGCTGTCTCCTATGGCTCTAGCTCAATCCAAGTTTGAAATACCTTTCAGTAATGCTTTGAGGTCTTACACAGACATGTATTTGGTACTATCACCCAACCCCTTCATTTGTCTTTTTATGGAAGCTCTTCTGATTCTGCCAACAGAAAACTGATAATGTAGTGAAAAAGAAGTAGAACGGGCCCCCTTTCCAAGCAGCCTTACAGTCACTAGCCTGACGTGCTAGTTCATAACCCTTATACAGCAGCTCCTCTCTGCTGATCTCTGCTGGCACTCTAGCACTTCAGCTGCAAGAATGATACAATTCCAAAGTCGTATCAAATACCAGAAAACTACAAATAGAAACACTGTACTTTACTAATAATTCACATAAAATTCACAGCCTAAAAACATTAGTTTGCATAACAGAACAACAGAACTGGGAGAATTCCCAACATTACTACCTGTCCTAAGCTTGTTCTTTCTCCAAACTTTAGTAGTATGTAAAAAATAAAGTATTGGCCAACTCATTTAATAAAGCAACTGGGTAAATTAAAGTGAAGAGATACATTCACATTTTAATTTTGAATTTGCTTACATTTGTCTACTGGTGCCCCAGCCTTAGAAAGCATCTTATGTTACATAAAAACCCCTAACGTCGGCATCTTCTCCCTCAAAAATGTATCATTCTCTCTGTATTTGGGACAATGTTTAAAGGCTTTGTTTTGTCCTGTCATTAAAATAAAGATTTTTGAGGCAGACTTCCTAAGTGGAAAAAAATTAGGAAAACCTGTAAATTCTGGTTGGGTGGTTTGTTTTTCTTAAAAAGAAAATTATCTATTACATATTTGGTCAGTTACCCCTTGTTGCAGAGGTAGCAGTGAGCACTTGCTGTAGTTAACCTAGAGAACTCCCTGTTTTTTTCCACAGAATCACGCTAAGTTTATAGGACCCAGAAGTTAGGAACGCCCCCCACACCTTATTATTTTAATGTTTAATGCAGTGAGAGATTAGTTTGCCTCCCCACCTCCTCCCAAGTTGCTTTTCCAAGTAGACTTGTGCTTTAAACTGCACCCATTTTGCTCAGCTCAGTACATTAAAAGTAGACAGGGTAAAAAGCAGTTTTAACTTTTAATAAGATGAGAATCAGGGTTGGAAAAAATTAATTATGAAGCCAGTACTCATGGCTGAAATTTTAGCAATCTCTGCAATACAGTAAAATACTCCAAAGCAGTTTATCTACCTAGTAACTGAAACACATCCACTCACAGTGTTTGAGCTAACTGGTTACGACCAGGATTAAAATAGCTTCACTCTTGGAATTTCTATCTTGTCAGTCACCGGAGAGATTTTTCAGTAATAGCTTTCATCAGCAGAGGTTCAAAAATCCCCTTTGTAGCTTATTTTGTTTACAAAGACACCTCAAAGTTTGTCATAGAACAGAAAGACTTTTTCCCAATGGATGAATTTTCAGAAATATCAAGCTGAGAAAGAAGGGTACAGTTTTGGTTTTGGACTGCAAACAGATGTTTGCTTGTAAATATTTTTACTGTTGTACAAAATTCAACATGTATTTTAGGGATGAGGACCTGTTCCTGTGTGAGATTTCCACTGATCCTGCTTCTTACAGTTAGTAGGAATTTTATCATCTACTTCCGTGGAAGAAGCCTTGTGAGTGCCAGCGCTGTTAGAAATACACATAGCGTATTAGATACAGTTGGGGAAAGAAGAGAACTTACTCTCTTCCAGATTAAGTTACATAATTTTGTAACATACAACAACTTTATCAATCTTAGACATTTGTATAGCACCAATCACCGACAGTTATCATCACTAAGGCACTGGACTGGTACTCGGCTGTCATGGGGTGTATCTCCGTATCTGCGGTCAATTTCCTGTGTAATCATCTTCTGTTTTTCCTGGTACATAATTTTGACATTGGAAAATAGGACAGAATACAAAACATCCTACATCATTTACAGGAATATTGCGCCACGACTAATTACAAGGTGCCCAGATTTGAAGGTGACGAACATTAATAGTTCTGTGCATAGATTTACCGGTAAGAGAAAATTATCCTGTAGGTATCAATTATGTGCAACACACTGGAACAGAATTAGCTTCAGTTCCTCTGGAGTTACTGACATACTCTAAGTTAAATCCTATCCTCGATGCCACGATTCAAAATAGTTTTTAGATAAATGAAGATAAGCCCTCAGGGCTCCCGTCTACGACAACTGATCCAGCATGCCTTCATATGCTTTTGCATCAAAGTCTGCTCCGAACAACTTACAGAGCTCCAGTTTCAGCCTCTAAGAGAGCAGTTTTTGATGCTTTCAGAAGCAGCTGCATCTTTTTTTAGTTTGTAGTGAATTTACCTCTCCACATTATTAAAAAAAAGAAAAGCACCAACCCTTCAGGAGTTATCACTATTCTGCTGCATCACACTGGCTGCTGAATATGTGTACTGATGTACAAATTACTAAAAGTTCTTGGGTTGAAATAAGTTACTGCAAATGCACAGTAGCTGATTTTGAAACCACAACATCTCTACGATTTATTATTATTTTTACAAAATACCCAAAGTGATCAGACCATATCGTAGGTTACTGGCTTGCCAAAGGTTATGTTTTAAAATCAAAACCATTTCTGAGTTACAGAAGTGCCAAAAACAATCTTGAACCAGGTTTGTTTGTTGTTTTTGTTGTTTTTTTTTAAACCAACCCCCATCCAACAAAACAGTTGTAAAACTTAAAACAGAAACAAGAGTTTGTGTTGGAAACTCTTTAAAAACCAACCCACCAAATCATGCTTGAGCAGAAGCCTTGTATGGCAAAGATTTAGCTTAGGGCAATTTAGTGCCAAGATATAGACCCTCTATGGGTTTATAATGGAAATACTGACACAACCTCAACTATAGTGATGCAAATGTGCCCTAAAACACTGTATTTGCTTTTATTAATAAAAGTGGTAGTGTTTACATTTGCACATATCTTACACTTCAGCATCACGATGAATACTGAGTAGAATGAGTTAAGTTTTGGCTGTAAGGTCAGAAGTTTCCAAACAGATGAATGAGACACAAGTGAAAGTCCTCAATCATGAAAACAAGAAGTTCAAATAAATAAATAAAACAAAACTAGGAAGTATGGGTAAGCATTAGGTTGGAATGGTTCAATTAACTGCAAGTTATGGCCACTAAATTAGAGACAGAAGAAAACACAGTTACTTATTAAATAGCAAGCATTAAAGCTTTATGGTTTTGTATTAAAAAAAAAAAAAAAAAGAAAGCCGTTAAAAATAAGACTTGCATTTACCAGGCCACCAAACTGCATGGACTAATAAAGAGACTAACAAAGGCAATACCGAGACATTAAGACACACACACACTCCATACTTGTGCAACTCAACCATATTCAAAACAATTGCCTTTTTCCTCACTTAAGAAAAAAAAAAAGCATCCCCTAAACATTTCTGTTCATATAAAGCTTTAGGCTTCTAAACTGCTGCTGTCTTATATAGCTCATTGTTACTACGTATCCTCGTTATCAGAGGAAGCTTATTTTTTTCTTCTTTTTTTTTTAATGGAGGTGCTTTGTTTCTCTCAGATGAGAGATTGCATTCCTCACACCACTACAGGTTTTCCCCATTTATAAATTTGGTGTTTACACCAACTCCTCCTAGGCTTAAAAAGATAAGGGTTGGCCCTAAATTGAAGATTTTGGCTCCTGTAACTAAAATTAAGGCTCACAATCAATCTCCTTTCCATTATGTGTGTCCCATTTTTACCTAGTGGAAACACCAGCCCTTAACCTACAGGCACTGGATACATTCTTAAATTGTAGGGGGCTATTTTCGGTCACGTTCTCCTACAGCTCTACAAAGCTCAGGTGGCAACTTTCTAAACCGGTGAACAGGAAAGATCATTTTTAGAAGATGAGTAGCAACCGCAGCTAAAATTTTTAGACGATTTAGTGTCTTCTGGAAGATCACTAGTAATTTTGAATTAAGAGAGATGGGACAGTAACTCCATCGAGTCCCTGCTCTTTACGTGAAAATAGACTAGGTGATTAATTCTCTTTTAAAAGTTTAGCCACAAAAGCAATGAAAACTCAAACTGCTGAACAGTTGCAGTTCTTAGTATTAAAAAGGCATCTGATACCTGAAGCAAATCTAGCTGCACAGACATCACTGACCACACCCTAGTTTTAATTTAAACTGGACCTCTTCCCAAAAAAGAAAGTTAACACAGTCTCTTGGGTGGAGGGAAGCTAGTGTGAAAGGCAAAGAGGCAAGTATTTTGGTGTTTGTTTTGCTTCGTTTTCCTTTTAAAGTCACCGCAGTAAGATCCAGATCAGTTTAGGGGTGTAAATGAAGGGGGAACAGGGGTGTTTTGAGTAATATAGGCTAACACTGTTCTAGATGTGTTATTACAGCTGTAATTTCTGACTCTGTACAAATTGTACACGTAGGTTTAGACACATGAAAAAGTAACACACTCACAGAGACATAAAACACCTAGGTATAAAATATAAAGCAGTGTAGTAGTTACTAAAATTACATGCTCTCTTATTGCTACAGTGATTTTTGCTCTTTTTCTTTTTACTGTACCACATGTTGTTCTAAGCATATAATTTGCATAAATTATTCAAGTTTAAGAAAAATCCACACATCTTCACTTTAAGCTACTTATATAGTTAATATAAAACAAAAAGGTTCTAAAGTATCTCTTTATTAAAAGAGAAATAAAAATGTCATTTGAAACTGGAATTCAGTGGCCAAATCCAAGGGCAGTGCACACCTTGTCATTCGGTAGTAGTATGCCCACGCAGCGTAAGTGGAGGTTGGTGGGGTATTTGGCCCAGTCTAGAGATGGTCACCAGACCTGCATGATGCCCTACGTGTCTGTTATTGTTCTGGTTTTGTCTTTAGCGAAAAGGACTATGAATGACCAAAGACTAACATTTATAATTTGTAGCAAAATTTGGTTTATGTAGAAACAAGCCATGTTTTGCATTTGGATAGAGATTTAAATGAATTAAAGCTAAAAATTAAAAAGCATGATGCTGCAACATCTGGTCACTTGTTGAAGACCTCACTTTTAAAGTGGTTAAGTTTGCACAATTTGTACTTTTTTCTTTTTTTTTCTTTTTTTTCTTTTTTTTTTTTACTAAACAGTATTTTTCCTTCTTTTATAAACCAGAAAAACTAAACTACAGATAAATTTTCCCTACCTTGAGCTAATGCTGCAGATAGGGTTGACAAAGCTGTACAGCGCAATCAAACATACTTACATCTTAGCTCATTGTACAGGTACAGCCATAATCAAGGCACAAAGATCTTCTACAAGTTATTTTTTTTCAATAAAGTTGTACAAAATAATACATTTTACAGTCTGTACAAGAATAATAATCCAGCAGTAAAATAAAAAATGAGGGGAGGGAAGAAGAAAAAGAAGGGAAAGACTGTGAGGACTACAGTCCAGATAATGATTTTTATAGCAGACGGGATCATCAGTGGACAAACTGAAAACAGTGTGTGGTTAACTCTTTCTGCAATCACAGGCCATACGCAGTTCAATTCATAAATGTCCATGGTTGTCTTTAGACCACCAAGACTGGTTTTAAAAATACCCTTCTGAAAGGTAGCAGTTGGTTTTTGCACTGTCTAGGTCTGTTGTAGAATTGTCAGTATTTCCGTTCAAAGCCACATTACAGTCAGAGAACCAAACTCAAGTGTCTGTCTTCAAAGTTGGTCTGTGACTTGGCACCTTCTTTAGTCTGATGCAGTGAATGATAGAAAGTGGAGATCACGGGTTATATGATTATGCCCACAACAGTGCTAAATTACCTAAAGTTTTCTCTCCCCAATTTTTGTTTTATGTTCCAATTTTTTATCCCCAATTCTTTCAGGTGCTCCACATTCAGGGCTTTTAATTAATTAGTTTTTATTTCTTTTTTTTTTTTCTTTTTTTGTTAATAACAGTGTTAGGGAATCCTCATGGAAATGGCCTTTTAAGTGTTAGGGGCCATCTCAAACTGTCCAAGGGGTACAGAAGCAAGCTTAGAAGAGCTGCTATTGTCCAGCAAGGAGAAAAAGTTGAGGGGTGCAAATCAATGGGAGATTCAAACAGTTCTCTTCCACCCTATGTGGGCAAGGGTGTTTTTTTTCTTTTTTTAATAAGGAATAAGGAGTCCAAAACACAGAAAAAAGTGCTCTCCATCACAACAACTCGTATTGGCGAAGGTGCATGCGCTGAATAATGTCCCGACAGTCATTGAAAACCCTCCGGATGTTCTCTGTATCCACTGCACATGTGAAGTGAGGATAGCAATAGTGCCTTCCATCTCCACTTGCTGTGCTGATTCTCTGTTAAAAGTAAGAGAGAGAGACCGGGTTAAAATAAAACTGACTGGGGAAAAAACCCCCATGTTCTCAAAACTCAGATGAATGAGGGTTAAAGATACATATGTGTGAGTTGTGTTTTCAAAGGGTGTAACTAAGTGGCAGAACGCCCACAATTTTTCACTCTCTCACCGAAAACATAAAATTTAAAATGATCGGAATTATACGGTGAGAAGGCCACTGCATGCTGGGGAATTTCAGAGTTGAACGAGAACTCAGGAAAGTGCTATTATTTATATGCAGCTTTGCTGAATTTAGCCACACAACTCCTAGTCAGTTTGTCCGTGAAGAAAGTGGGATTTTGCCTCCTCGTGCAAGGCTTTTATCCCTGCTTTATACTTACTGAAAGCCTCCCTCAAAATTTTATTTTGCTCCATTTTAAAGTGCGTCCACAATTTGATTGCCATGCTCAACATTACAAGTAATTGTAGTAATACTTAAAAAAATCTGTCTATTATAGCTTCAGCTGACCAGTAATGGGAAAGATAATATGAAAAGAACATTAATATTTTACAGATGATGCATCTTTTGATTAGTCTTTATCTTTAGAAATAATGCATGGAATAAAAATCTGGCCCCATTAATAACAGCAGGACTTCACTCATCATTTTATTTGAGGTTTCTTAACTCTTACCAATTCTTTTGCTATTTAATTATGTACTGTGTCAACAAACAAACATCCGAAAAGCAGGTAACAAACAGCAGTAAAGCTCTTAAATGTAACAGTGCTTTATGCAGTGTGGATATTAAAGATAAACAACACAAAAAGTGACAGCATTTTGCAATAGTAGAAGGTGCTTAAGAGCTTATATTTGAGAAGAATCACCTAAGAAATACTGAAAGAAAGGAAATACTTACAAGAAACTCGTCTCTAATAAAATACTTGGCCCTTGTAACTCTGGGATCCTCACCAGGCTCTGGTGTTGCTGATTAATAATAAAATAAGTATCTCATTAAAACAGACTTTTTTTGGCGATAGCACCTAAAAATCGTACCTTGTTCTGTTTTCTGCTCACATATGATAGAAACATACTTTGCAAAACTGACTATGAGATAAGACAAACCTTAACATATTATTTAAAACAGCAAGATTTCAGGAGAACAAAGGAATAATACAGTGGCCATAGTACCAGGCATTTGGCAGGTTAGAGAAATGACCACAGATATGACTAGGGGGAGTCCAGAGGACGTATTTGTGACACGCTCTACTGTGGTCTACACCAGCAAAGTAACAGGATTTTGGCATGATGAAATTATTAGTATATTAAATGTATAAAAGACAGGATTCTCTCATTATTAATACCTAAGATTTAACATTACAGTTTGGCTGAAAGACAATGAAGATTACATCTACTTAAGAGTTTTCAAGTCTTAGCTGAAATTACCAAAAACATTGCAAACATGATTAACAAGGAAATGATAAATTCCTAATAAAACTTAAAAATCTCACCATCATCTGGTGTAGTGTAGCGAGCAAATTCTGGAAAGTAGTCTTCAATTTTAGATTTCCCTGCCAAAACTTTCTCTGCTAGCAAATCTTGTTTATTCAGGAAAAGAATTACTGAAATGGTCCGTAGCCACCTGTAGAAAATGGAAACCAAACACTCTGAGAAGGCACAGCTAGGATCATACAGCAAAAAGAAACTTAATCCAGTTCTGGAGACAACACTCATATGACACGCTATAGTAATTTTGAAAGGTTCCTTTTACACCTGAATCCAATGGTGTAATTCCGGGTGTGCTCGCCCTGAGTTTGGTTTGTGTGCTTCTAACGTGGGCAACGAAAGTTGCCCACTTTCTACTGCTAATCCAAACACATCGAATAGATGAGCATATCTGCTTTTTAGTGTGCTACTCTTATCACTGCTTTAATTACTTCAGCCTCCATGAGGCAACTACCAATTTGGAACTCTCCAGAGTTTTCTTCAGTTAGATGAGCCTATCGGACATTAATGTAACAGGTAGGCAGTTGTGATCAAAGACCAGCTTGGACTGCGCTGTGAGGAGCAAGTAACAGGGCGCTAGGCTGCTGTTGTGGGTTAAGCCCGGTGGGCAGCAAAGCGCCACACAGCTGCTCACTCACTTCCCCCCTCAGTGGGACGGAGGAAGAGGAAAGGAAGAATAAAAGCAAGAAAATTTGGGGGTCAAGATAAAAAAATATAAATAAGAATTGTTTAATAAGTGAAGGGTAAGTGGAAGAGAGAAGAAAACAAAACAAGTGAGGCAAAAGCAATCACTCACCACCTCCCGTGGGTAGACCAATACCCAGCAAGGCGGCTGACCCTCCTAACCCGCCCCCCCCTTTTTCTTTTTATTGCTGAGCATGACGTTATATGGTACAGAATACTTCTGTGGTTAGTCTGGGTCATCTGCCCGCTTGTGTCCCCTCCCAACCTATTGCGCACCCCCAATCTATTCGCTGGGGGGGGCAGAGTGAGAAACAGAGAAAGCCTTGATGCTCTGCAAACACTGTACAGCACCAGCTACAACATTAGTGTGTCACCAGTATTGTTTCGGTCAAAACCAAAACCATGGCACCATATGAGCTGCTATGAAGAAAATTAACTCTATCGTAGCCAGGCCCAGTACACAAGTCTTGACTATGGTATAAGACAGGATTAGTAATTTATGTGATATGAACAACGAAACTTCAATTCACAGACCTGTTGTTCCAGATACTCTTGAAGAGGTTTAGTGCTTCTTGAAGCCGATTGGTCTGATTATCCTCTCGTATAACCATGTTGTAGCTACTGCTCGCCACCACAAATATGATAGCAGTCACATCTAAATCAAGAAATACCCATTAGTTAATACCAAACTTCAGAAGAAATATCCAGGAATCCCAAAGTTCAATAAAAAGCTGCCAGACTTTCAGCTTCATGAAGAGAACAGGCTGGAATGCTACTGCCGACAGCTTTCTAAGTACCAGAAATAAAAAAAGAAAGCGAAGAAACCATTAAAGATAGGAAAGGCAGGCCACAGGACAGAAGCTGACAGAATGGCAGAAAACGTAGAAAAGAAAGGAACAGAAGCGAGAGAGAGAGACACTGAAGAAAGCTAAGAGGAGAATTTAAAAAGATTTAAAAGGTGTAAAGAAATTTAGAAAGCAACTCTGAGCTATCAAGAAAGGACAGGGAGGCCCTTGGGGGAAGGGCCTCAGGACAAGTGGCACTTTTGGTCTGCATGAATAGTAATAATAAAAATAGTAGATTGCTGTGAATTCACGGTTAATTGCTCTAGTCCTCCGATAGTGTACTATACTGCTTAGAGGCCCCCCTCTCTCTCCTGGGAGACATTCCCAGGATCACAGAATCCAGATCTCTCTGTTTCTGTGTGGCTGTGCTGCTCCAGACCCCTTACACTGACTTCCAGGCTCATCTGCCTCAGACATCAACAGCAGAAGAGATGAGTCAGATCATGAGGTAACAGGAAGAGGAAGGAGCAGAGGTAAAACCCAAACAAATCTGTTATTAATAGCACAGAAGAAAATATTGCACAGTAGTTCCACACATATATAAAGTGTTCAGGTGATACTCTATGACAGTAACTGTAGCAAAATGCGATGAATTCTAAGTTGCATTCTACCGTATCCATTCTGTAGGATCTCATTATAACTTTTCTACAAAAAGACAGACTTTTGCATAGCTTCATAAATACTTTGTTCAACCAAGAAAAAACCAAGAATATTTTCACCAACTCTAGCTTTAAGAAAACTTGTGTGGAGAAAGGTTTCACATCTAAACAGAGATACAGAGTAAAATAAACGGCTGTAGTGAAGGTACATGCAACACTACAGGATAGACACAAAACTACCTAATTTATCACCTGAACTGAACTGAGGGGGACATCAGTGTTAAGACTCCAGATCTTACAAAACGCCTGCAGACGTTTCAGGTCTTACCCGTACCTAGGCTGGCGCTATGTTAGCCTTCTACGGAATCGAGCTTATATGCAGGTTACTTAAATGAGGGTATTTGTTTAGATGTTTTCAGTAAGGGCCTTCCCCTTAGGGCTGTTTTTCAATAAATTACATTAATATGCATGGCTCCCTGGAAAAGTGCAGATTTACTAACTCCATCACAAACTTTTCTGACAAGGGCATTTTGGGGCTACACTAGACAATGCTGTAGTATATTACATAGCGCATGCGACACCACGTCTAACAAGACAGATGTTCCCTACAATCTCGTACTGCATTAACGGGTCGGTGCCGATTCGGAAAGAAGCACTCATGACATAGCAATGTGGCTGCAATTATGCACAAAAATGATATTCTGATTTTATGCATATATTAATTATCCCGTAATTGTATATTTTGTATAGGCACAAACACATGTAAACCTTCACTTGGAAGACAGAATATAGCTTGGAATTTAACACTCACATAGCTGGCAAATAATGCAAATAAAAAAAAAAAACCCACCACCAAAAAAAAAAAATTAAATGAAGAGAAGGAAGCCGAAGAAAATGGACAAGCTATGTTAAGTTAACCAACTTGAATTCCTTTCCAACTACATTCTCCCTAAAGATATTCTACGCAGTTACAGAAGTTTACATGTAAAGAAAAATTCCATCCCGTATGACTGTTCAGATAATGAATGCCTTATCAAGCTACATGGAAAAGAAGATGGCTTTCACACAGCGAGAAAATTAAGATTGGGCATTAAAATTTTGCAGAGAACTATTTTATAAAACAAGCATAAATTCTAATCATACCATTAAAACACTGGATCCATTTTCGGCGTTCATCTCGTTGCCCTCCAACATCAAACATACTAAGAAAAAAACATAAATCGAGTCAGAATACATTTTGTGTTTGGGTTTTTTTTCCCCAAACGCAAACAGAAAATCTAAGAAATTTTAGGACTTCCGTGTCATAGAAGCTAAAAGGAATCAAGGATTATGAGAACCTGAACAGGTAACAGTCTGCCAACATACGCACGCAGAGCTTTCATCACAAAATATAACTATGTTTACTTTCACTAACACCTACACTTGAAGGTAAGAAATTCTGGTGTATGTATATTGCAGATTCATTTTCACCCTTACAAGCTAAGACATTAAAAAAGGTCCTACAACAAGTCATTTGCTGAAACAAGTATCACAAAGCTAAAGTCAACAAGATTAGACTAAAACTCAGCAGTTTTTGTTTGGGTCAAGCAATCTTTCTAACCTGGGACAGTAAAGAGAACATGCACTTTCCATTACTTATATATGTACAAAGTTTTTGGTCAAATATTTCACTATATAAACTAGCAATGAATCAAATACTCAGGAAAGGCATTAGTAAAAATAGATTTAAAACATTTTGTTCTTTGCGATTTAAAATAAAAGCAGAAAATTGCACACCAATTTGCATTTCTTTTTAAAGCCAGACTACTAAATTAAAAAATCATGAAATACTTGCTTTCTCTTAAACATCAACTGGGGAAATACATTAGTCTCAATGACTATATGGTAGACTGTCCTCCACTTTACCCTGGTATTTGTCTGCATTGTATTAAAAAAAAGAAAAAAAGAAAAAAAAAAAAGAAAAAAAAGAAGAAAAAAAAGGGTACTTACTGAAAATTTACTTTATCCACCTGAAACTTGGTTTCAAAAATTCCTGATGTCAAAACTCTGCATCTGAGAAGATCCTAGAGCATAAAGGAAAAGTCATTGATTCAACACAGATACTTCATAATTCTTCATATATCCAGCAACAGAAATAAAAACCTTTTACCCAGTGCTGACAGCGTGCGCTGTACTGCAAAAACAGGGAACAGAGCATTATGAAGCTGCATCTAAGCTTTTGATCTTGAACACATGTGCACACGTGTGGGTGTGCTCAACTTTTGAAGTACATATATTTTCACAAGCAGGTTGTAAGTGCCAAGCTTGGAATAGGAGGAAACATTTACAGGCCACTTAAAGCAAACACAAGCGTTCAGAACAGCGCAGACCCATCTCTAGAGATTAGATGATGCATTCACAGATTTCAGTGGGATTGTGGCACGCAACAGGATCTTTAAACTACCACCAAATAATTCCCAACCCCAGAAGACAGATCTCTCCCTGAGCTGTTCAGTGCTTGGCTATTAAAAAAAGTGTCTAGGTCTCAGAATTGTCCATGTTTTCCTTCAAAGAACCAGGAGCTCAATGACTTAAATCTTATAAGAATTGGGCTTTTCAAAGATAAAGTTGGAAATTTCCTACAGAGACAAAAATGATAATCAGAAGTTGTGAGCTACAAACAGTTGAAATTGTTATAAGTGCTACAAAATCCTATCAAAAAGAAACTGTATTGGCTTTTATTTACTGTGTATTGCAAAGCAGTGACAGCCATATACAGTGCCCAGCGGGTAACTGATTTAGAAGAACCTGATTTGCATAGGCTGCAGACCGAGTACACAGTCCAAATATAACTAACTACAAAACACCACTTTGAATTCAACTAAAGGGTTTATAATTTAGGACTTAAAGTTTTGGTTTTCTTCACAATGGGTCTAAATAGCAGATAAATTGTAACATTTGCAGCAGACAAGATCATATAAGCGGAACAGACTGTAAAAAAAATTATATGCACAATAAAAGCTCTGTTCTTACTATGTAGGTACCAAACTGGTTAGTCAAAGTCAAAACCACACAAAATCCAAAGGTTAGACAACACTGTTAAATCATTAAACAAAATGGCTACATTTTAACATCAGTTTTCTGATAGTAAATTATTGTTGTCTGGCTATTTTAATACTCATATTGAAATATGTATATATTTAAACATTGCTCTAACTTGTGTTTGAAACAGTTTGAAAATTCGAACGCCCCAATAAACAGAAGCAAATTTGGAAAACTGGACTCTCTGGAGCTCTGCATCTTCAGAAATCAATACAAGTGTGATGTCAGAAAAAAAATAAAAAGCACTCATCCACCTCAAGGGGGGGGGGGAAGGAAGTGATTTGATTATTACACTCCCGAGTTCTTTTAGCAGAAACACGTAACATCCCAGAGGATAATCCAAATGGATACTTGTGGGGAGTTTCAATGCAGTCAATGGTCCCAAACAAGCACCATAAGTACTTGTGCTTACTGTTACTTACAGAAGTAAAAGTATGCAATTGTTTTACTTAAGTAACTACTTAAATACCTTAAGTAATTACTATAAGTAAATTGTAAGTACTACACTTAGTACTATATACTAAGTATAAATAAATACAAGTTAAACTCCTGACACCCTTAGCCTCCAATATAAAACTGACACTTGTTTTGAAGTTTCATATCTGAAGATCAGTTGCTCCAAATTTCAAGTATAATAACCTGTATTTTTAATATTTTGTTTCTTGAAAACAGAATGATTTCAGTGATAAGAAAGCCTCATTTATAAAAAAACTCAGATTTTTAAAAGGATGTATGATTAATTTATTCTTGAACAATTTTAGAGGATACAAAGTGCTCTCTTCTCATTAATACTGTCTGTGGAAGTTTTGGGATATTAATATGTTTTTTGGTTGTTTATCCTATAAAAGTACGCTAGGTGCTTAATTGTGTTATTTATGGGCAGAAAGTTAGGAATATACATGCGATTTTGGATTAGGGATTTGGTCCTAAAAAGATCCTCAGATTATCTGTAACAAAACGAAAACTACAATTCCTATTCTGATAAAAAAATAAACTCTAACAAGGTTATTTTTACAAAATCTGGTTTACAGTGGGAGCCAGTGGGGCTGAGAGGATACCAGCCAACTCTGCATCAAAGTGCGTGATGGTTATTTAGCAAGGAGGGCAAAACATTATGAATTACTCGTTCAAATGGACATTTGAGTTTTAGTGTCACAGAAGCATGATATAAGTCTTGAATCTAGGCACGTTTTCATTTCACGGTGCATTTAAAATGTATAAACATAAACTCAATCCAAATGACAAAAGTAATTTTTACTGGAATACTACATATGTACAATACATGGTAATACCTGTATTAGTGCCACAAATGGCAATTAGAAAATTAACGAGATAGTTCTCCTCAAAGATGGAAGGGACAGATAAATTGTGTAATTTCTTAATGAAACTTTCCTTACCTGGTCAGACGGTGTATATTCATTTTGTTTGACTATGTCAATCTTGTCTAGAAAACTGGGGAGAGGAAAGAAAAAGAACTTTTCATTCTCAAATCAGATAAACTATCTAACACTTGAGTAACTGACAGGTTCCCAGATGAGATTTGTTATATTATAATGCACTCAGATTCACAAAATGCTGAATACACTTAAATTGCTCAACATATGTGTGCTAGTACTTAAAACATGCATTTCCTAGCACCACCCAGCAGAGGGCCAAATCCACAGTTTTATTAATCAGGTCTGGCAATCTCATTCCAACGCCCTCCCACTCTGCTCCCTCCGCTAACAAACATACAAGTAGTTTAATTTAGGTAATTTATTCATATAAATTGTACAATGTAATCTGCTACTGCTAACAGTAAAGCAATGACTCAAATAAAATACCTACGTGTAATTTTCCTGAAAGTAAGATGAGTATTTTTTAAAAATTTATTGTCACTGTAATTCTGTTAATAAATGAAATCCCTAAACCAATTTCATTACAAGTTCAGTGAAGTGAGAGGGAATACTGATTTTTCTGTCAATTGTTGGTACCACTTTTTCATTTTACTTTCTGGAGAAGTAGCAATAGTAGGCCAAATGGGTATAGAAAGATATATTTTATTCAGATTCATTAGGCATTACCTAAAGAGGATATCCTGGAGTCTTTAAAATGTTTTTACCGATTAACTGTAACCTCCTAATTATCTTTCCCTTCAACTCAAAGAGCAAAAATCTCAAGGAACCAATTTGTTAACTGTTTTATTGTGGTGTTACTACGAGACTCGAAGACGTAGCAAGCCAGCAGCTTCAGGATGCAGATTTTATGCTATTCGCACCCCAATCAAATTGTCCAACACCAAGTATACAGCAGGGCTACACCATGCTCAGACACCTTCCATTTCAGTATTATTAGGAGAGCTAGCAACACTTCTACAGTTAACTTTACCCGTAACATTAATGATTAATCACAGTCTCAAAACCAATATACTTTAACCTTCCTTTTAAATTCCTTTGCATGAATTCTTTTCTTTATGAAGGAGAAATCACAAAGAAAAGGTGAGTTTTCCCTTCCGATCCCTACACATAGGTAGGTACACTGGAAGTGCATTAACTACGGTCGCAGGCAACAATTTAAAGGGGGGGAAAGGTAGCCACGTCCCAGATTCACAAACCAGAAACCATTCCCACATTAAAATCAGCAAGGGTCTTAGCCCTCAGTTTCAGCCCCTGCTTCCCAACAGACTTTCTAAAAAAACCTTATGAAGAGCAGGGGAAGGAGGAAAAAATAATTGTATGTTTTAAGAGCAGCTTCGGTATAATGCCCTTTTCACCAGGAACTAGGTGACCATCTTGTTTCAGAGACAAATGAAAAGTAATTTTTGTTTAGTCTGAATTACGGAATTTTAAGCACACTAAAATGTACCTTAGTAAACATGCTACTAAAAACATGAGACAAAGCGTAAAGATCAATTTCCATCATGAAAGGTGACGTGGAGACAGGTATACAAGGATAACATTGATGTCAAATTGCGTTCTGCAATTTGCAAGCTGGATTTTTTCCTCATCTCTTCCAGGCTGTTAAGTAATTTTATTTTTCTTTTTTTAATCTAAAGGAAAAGAAGTAAAGCTCTTTGTTCAGTACACAGAGGATGTTAAATACGTACAACAATCATGAAACCCAACTAGTATGAGTGTTTCCACATTATATTCTCCCCTAAGACCACAGTTTCAGAATCATGTGGCAATTTCACAAGTTGGAGGATGCTTGACAAATGTTCAGAACATAACATGTTCATAAAGATATAGAGGTGATTACTACAACGATCCAGCCTTTCTGTACTGAATTTATCTAAGTGTAACATTTTATGCAAGGTTCCACAAGAGGTGGATTTTTGGTTTGGGGTTTTTTTGGTTTTGTTTTTAAATGCTCTGCTAATCAGCTTAATGGATTTTGGAAATTGACAATTAGAAAATAACAACAAGGTATTGCTAAAACCTGGAACTGAAAGTACAAACCTCTTACTGTTGTTTATGCAGACTATTTTTAGGCCTATGATTTCCTTGAAAAACAGCAGCCACATAGGAGCAGCAGTACTGTACTTGAGATGAATTCCAATAGCAATGTTCATGCCAGGTAAAACAAGTTGGAATGGAATAAACATTTCTTCTTCCCCCCAAAACAAGTTCCAACATTCAGTAACATCTGATACTCGTAACAATACTCGTTCAAGAAGAAAGTCTTTCACTGTATGATAGTTACCAGAAAACCTACCCTGCTTCCAGGGGCATTTTAGGGAAAATGGAGCAAAGCAATATGTTAAATGAGGATTTCCTCCTGTGCATGTGCCTTTTCATAAAAGTCTGCTCTAGCAACTTTAGAAAGGGCTAAAGACATTAAAAAACAGTTTGATTTTTTGCTCAAACAAAAGGAAAGGGGATTATTCTTTCAGCTGTCAACTGAAAAATAAATGTGTCTGTAAGGAGAAAAGAGTAGCAGAAATTCGATCTACTCTGATACATCTAAAATAAGGAGCAACAGTGGGAGCGTGAGAGTTCAGAAAAGATCAATACACTATGTTCAGAGGCTTCTAAGTCAATGTTAGTCAAGACCAAATAATTTATCCAGTAAATTAAACTAATAATCAAGTCAGATGAGAACAAAGCCTAATTCAAAATATAAAACAAATTCACCATCATTAATTTCTATTTTTAATTCTTGTTATGCTCTACCCAAAACACAAGCGAGGCCACTTCAGTTCTACTTTGTGTGCTGAATTCACTGCTGTTATAGATTGTTCTAAGTCTGCTGGAGATATGCCCATCTACTATGTCAGCAATGAATTTCACAGGGAGAAAGAAAAGTGACCTTGGTGAAATAATTCAAATAAAACCGTCAAAGCACGAAACCAAATTTTATACTGTGAGCAAGTCTTGCACCAAGTTACAAAGTCAGTTTTTTTTTTCTTCTGTAAAATTTTCCCAGAGATTATATGGGAAAGCTATTTTCCAGAAAGCAAATCATTCATTCAGCATCACTGCCAATTCTCACTTAGGGCCATATTCTGGACATGACTAAATAACAGGATCAGTTATTGCTCTGCAAAATACTGTCACTTGGTATAAGGCACTTTTGCCTGTGTTATAAAACATTGATACTGCTATGACACATAAAAAAAAAAAAGCAGGCTTTAGGTCATTTGTAGTCAGCAACACTGGAGAAGCATCATCTCTAGGACAGCAGTAGATGTGTCCCTGAGATATTAAAATGAAAGGTATTAATAAAAATTTAAAACAATCTGAAATAAAAAATGTGCTTTATTTTTGGGTCCCTTTCTTCAGCTTGGGGAAGGAAAAACACGTGAAATGTTTTAAACAGATCTTTGTGAAGAATCAAGTGTCTTTAATTTTAAGGGGTGCGCTTAGGAGGCAGACTTCATACAGAGGTACACAGAAGCTTTCCTTAACTCCTGCAGGTCAAAGTAATTAAGTCATACACGTATCCCCAAGTCTTTCCAAATTTTTAATAAGCCTGTTATGTCAAAACCATGCCCCAATTTTCAGATCAAGATATATGCCAGTTACTGATTTATTCTGGAGTTCTTTCATACAGAGCGAGCTGTTTTATCCCTATGTGGGGGGAATTTCCTGAATGAACAATGCTGCTGCCAGACTAAGAACTGCAGCCTGCACTCATTTTTCCCCACTGAAAAGGCATATAGCACATTAAATCTTCCACCTTGAGAAACAACACAACTTCACCGTTTTGGGAAGAACGGGGAGGGGGGAATCAGACTGCCTTTCCTTGAGCATTTCCTGACAGTCTTTTCAATAAACAGTAACTTGAAATTTTACTCTTTGTGATCTGACAAAATGGTTGGCAGGCAAGAATTTTTTTTTTTTCTTTGTGAAGAAGAGCTTTTGTTTTCAGTCTAGAACAACACTGGAAAGGTCTCTTCAAACTGACAACACACCTATATTTGAAGAGCTTTACTTCCATCAGACTTTTTTTTTTGTCAAGTCATAACCTGAATTGGTATACAAAATGTCCCTCTTAAAAGACATATTAAGATCTCATCTTTAGTGTCAGTAAGACACTGCAAATCAAGAATTCAAAATTTCAATCCCAACTAAATACAGCATTTGTTTATAACCCTCAACAGTAGTACTGGAACTCCGTATTTGTGAAGTTTCTTGCCTCTGAGAGCCTCAAGGTATTTTACACACAGTAAATCATACTCACAACTGCCTGCCTTCATTCATGCTGCATTTCCTGCCTCTACCATCGCATCCTGAAATGCACACCTTACATTAACCTTATTTTAAAGGTAGGCACATAGGGAGTAAGTTAATTGCCCAGAGTCCCTTGAGTCAGTGGAAATGGAATTTTCATTTCCCCTGAGTCAATGTGTTTTTATCAAGATACTACCAAGAATTAACCAGAATATTACTAAGAATTATCAAGATTTTACTGAGAACTAAAGTTGTATTTACCCTGATCACCTCTAAAACAGTCTTTACAATTCAGATTTCTATGTCCGAAAATAAATTAATATTTGTTTACTGATCTTCCTAAAGACCGAACTGTGCAAATGCCCAACAGATTTGTATTTATTTATCTGTACCCTATCAGGGCTACAAAACTAACTCAAAGCTCCCTAAAGTAGTTTTAAGCTGAAATTTAACTCCATAGTATTTATAAACAAGAGTGTATTTTTTATTTCTCAGAACAGATCATGCTTTACTCCTACTTTACTCCCTTTTTAGTCCTTGCCATAATCCTTTATGTTATTCAGCAACAGCTTTCTAAAAGCTAAACAGTTAACTATTTGATAAATTCTTTCTTTAGCTATTTTGTCTATGCTGAAGCCAGAGTCACAGGATTACTACAAAGATAGAATACTCTCTTTAAAAGGGTATTTGAGCTGAGAAATATATGATGGATGTACTGCAACTTTAACACAGTTTAAAAACACGTTAATACAGAAGGGTTTTCCAAACCCTGAAAAGCCAGGTCTGTTACAGTGTCAAAAC